GTAGTAGTAGTAGTAGTAGTAGTAGTAGTAGAGAGAGAGAGAGAGAGAGAGAGAGAGAGAGAGAGAGAGAGAGAGAGAGAGAGAGAGAGAGAGAGAGGNGNGNGNGNGNGNGNGNGNGNGNGNGNGNGNGNGNGNGGGGGGGGGGGGGGGCGCGCGAAGTCGAGGTCATTCATACCTGTGAACAGTGTGCTTCGTGTGGCAGGTGCGCGAATAATTGAATTGAATTAAGGCAGTCGCGGCGACGAGGTCGTTTGTGAGGAGAGAAGGAGCGGATGAGGGTCGGTCGGGAGAGATGCGGTGGTGGTGGTGGTGGAGGTGGTGGTGGTTGATTGAAGATGGGAAGGAAGTCGTAACTATCGAGGGGAAGGAGCCTGAGTCTAGGCCGATAAGCGACCAACCGCGGCGATAAGCGCTTATGAATTCAACTCCACTTCGGGGGGAGAGGGACGGATCAATTGAGCCCTGACAAGGAGATTGGTATGTGAAGGGATATCAGCACTTCAAGTGTGACAGGCAGAGAGGAGGGGATTATTTCTAGGTGAGCGATGTCGAGGCCAGGAGGTGGGAAGTGGGGTGGCGGAAGACGAGAGAAAGTGGTGGTTGTAATGATGATTTGTTGTTGTTATTGTCCCTGAAACTTTTTTTTCAGTTGGCTTTGTTTACCCGCAACGCCGCCGGCGCCATGGTTGCTCCGCTTTGGGCAAGCCGAGTTGTTATGGCAGCTAACTAACTTACATATAATTAGGTAGATACGTACAGTCGCTTGGGTAGTAGTCTATGTCTATTACAGCATGAAGCTGCCCAACCCAAGATGATGCTTTCGGAGGCTTGTACTTTATCAAAGGGTGATCCTCTTCGATAGTATCAGCTCCCTGTTTTCCCTGGCCCTTGTGGTGGTGTCTCCCTTGCGGACTCGAAACGAAGGGGGGAGAGACGGCACTGTCAGCTACGCAAGTCCACGGACGGTGCAGGTAGTGGCTCATTGCTTCTACCATTCAAGTCTTAGTACTCTGTAGAATACGAGTGATCATTAATGGTCTTTGTGTAGCAATGCATGGTATGAGTCGAAGCCTGATGAGATCTTGCACGACGAAAAGGGGCGGGGGAAGATATAAACTCGAACGCGACTCCGCTCCACTAGTACTATATACTTTCGCATCCCATAGGTTCTTCCTACAATCAAAAACCACGACAGCAGTGGATGTATCCAAGAGAGAAAACTTACAACTGCAAAATGAGTCGCATCACAGTTTTCTCCAAGTTTGAAGTATTGTTTGTCCCGACCATCTTCCAACTACTGAGTACCATGAGTTCTTGATCGATTAAACTGCAGCAACTCCACCGGATCGACGCGCCGGGGCTGGATCGGGCCAATCTTTGGCCGACGAACAGACACTTGGACCAGCTGAGCCTGCCATGCCATGGCCGGGCAAACCACAAGCAGACCTGCAGGATTATTCTTGCTGGTGCACGGAACATAGACTGCAGGCGCTGCATCTTGTCTACTTCACCAAGTGGAACCGACTCCGAGTCGGAGGAACAATGGATGGTGGATCCTGTCGAGACCATGCGGCATGCTAATGTTACCGCGTGTCTGCATGCATAATTCAACACTACTAAGAGACCATAACGGTAGATTCGCGTGCACGCGCCAATCTTTTGCTTATACAGTAACTATATAAATGACCTGCACAACCGTCCGCTAAAGTCTATACTCCGACCACACTCACCTCTATACCAACACGCTGAATAGCTCACCTCCCACAATGGCCCGAATCTCACCGCCACTACCACCACCACCCCCCCAAGCCACTACACTACCAACCAACCTCACCAAACCAAACAGCAGCAGCAGCAGCACACCCAACACCACCAACCTCACCTCAACCTCACAGCAGCAGCAGCAGCAGCAGGTCACCACTTCAACTTCACCCTCCCCCTCCACCTCCATCACCACAACCCCCGCACTTCCCACCCCCAAATTCCTCCTCCAAATCCACGACCTCCGCCATCCCTCCGTCACCATCTTCCTCACCCTAATCCCCAATCTAGCCTCCACCCTCGAAACCGCATTAACCACCATCCTCCAAACCCTCTACACCTGCCCATCCCCCCCATCATCCCCCTCCTTCCCAGAATCCCCTCCAACCCCAAACACCCCCCCCACAACCCAAATATCATTCACCCCAACCCTCCCCCCGACCCGCTCCATCACCACCCACCTCCGCCCCATCCCGGGCGTCGCCTACACCAAAGGCACAGACCTCGACCCGGACCACAAAGAGATCCACCTCTCGCTCTCCTACATCGCGACCTGCACCGAGCGATCTATTCCCTCCACCACACACGCCGAGATCGTCGGGGTCCTCACCCACGAACTTGTCCACTGCTACCAGCACACGGCGCCCGACGATGACGACACCACCCCTCACCCGCCCGGGGGCCTGATCGAGGGGATCGCCGACTTCGTGCGCCTCAAGGCCGGGTTGGCGCCGCCGCACTGGCAGCGGCCGCGGTCGGCGGCGGAGCGTCCCGAGAAGTGGGATCAGGGGTATCAGCATACGGCGTATTTCCTGGCCTGGTTGGAGGATGTCCGCGTCGGGAGGGGGGCGGTGGGGTTGGTGAATGATCGGTTGTTGAAGGTTGGGTATGTGGGTGAGGATGACGACGGGGACGGAGAGGGTAAGGGGAAGGGGGAAGAGTCACAAAAGCGAGGGGAAGGGTTCTGGCGGGGGTTGTTTGGGGTCGGGGTTGAGGAGTTGTGGGAGGAGTATGGTCGATATCTGGATACCTCGGCGGAAGAAGAACGCTAGCTGGGAACTCGAGGGAAGGTGAGATTAATCTTGAGTAGAGCTGTGGGATTACATGTCGAGCTGGATGGACAGGCACCTCCATCTCCATCCATTTGAGTTTAAGATATTCTCGTCAGTTGAGGCACACATTATGAAAAATATAAAGACCGAAGAGTGAACATATAGAATCCATTGGATTATTGAGTACATGTAGATTCAGCCACCTGGATCTCCCAAACAATTTTTCGTCTTTGGTACATTCCACATCCCCTCCCTTCCCATTGCGAATCTCTATTGGTATAAAGAAAAAGGGACGAGCTTTATAACAAGAAAGAAAAATAAAAGAACACAGCATGATAGAAAACATCAGATGAAGTAGAAATTCCCGTATTGTACAGAACCTTGCGAAAATTGCGAAATTGGTAGGAATAATATGTAAATGTTGCTTGCCGTCAATTGCCACCTTGACAAGGTCTATATCAAAATGTGACGCCGTTTCCAAACACTGCTCTCATGAACCCCCCCCCTTTTTACACAATTACCTCCCCCAGATCCACGTGAACGGGCTTCCAGGGGGCGGCTCCCTCTTCTTCCATCGAGTTGGGCAGACGCACTTCCAGCGGGCTGTACAGGTACCAGGCCTTGAGGGCAGCAACGGCCGCCCGAGACCGGGCTTCAAGCAAACTAGAACCCGCACCCTCGCCCAGCTTATCCTGGCCGGAGTAGATGCCGACGACGAAGACTGGGTGCCGACTCAGGCGACCGGTCTCACTGAGGATCTTCGCGACTGGGGGCTCAAAGTTCTCACGGGCACATAGACGGGAAAGATCACGAGCCGGCTCGCGGAAGTTGAACAGATCAGAGATGTTGAGGTGACGGGAAAGGAAGTGCTGCTCGAAGAAGCGCTTGGCAGCTGGACGGCCAGCATGGAGGTAGATGGCGCCGATAACAGCGCGGACAAACTGGGAGGCGGCCGCTTCGGGGGTCACGCCTGCAGCGTACCGGTCGGTTGCCGGGGCCTGTTTTCGCGGGTCAACGCTAGCCTTGGTGGGGTCGCCGAAAACATCGTCGTAAACGATCTTCGATGTGATCGACCTCCGCCATGTCGTCTGCTCCTCGTAAGTTCTGTTCGTAGCGGTGGGTGTTGCATTCGGGTCGACACCTGGGGCGGCTCTCGTGAACTGCAGGTGGCCAGGGTCGACCTCTCCACCAGGTGCAGCAGCTAGCTCCACACCCCATTCCCTCGACATAGCAGCCAATGTCTTGGGGCCGACATAGGCAAACATGGCGGCGAAGATGACCGTCATGGGAAGACGGGGATATGTGCAGATGAGGTATTCGGAGGTGTACTGGGTCAGGAGGTCATGACCAAGGGTAGCCAAAGACTCGTTGTTGAAGTTGTGGTTAGGATCAGCCGATTCGTCCACGAGACAGCGAGCAAGGGTCTCAAGAGGAAGTCGTGAAGGAAGGTAAAGTCGTGCATGGAGCGCAGCGAGTTTCGCGGACTCGCGTGCGGCCTTGACAGGCGGAGAAGGGAGGGAGTGCTTGGCGACTTTTGAGCGAGGGGAGCGAATTATTGCGGGAGGAGCTTGTTCCTCGATCGATTGTTCGGCCTCAGCAGCCGTGGCAGGGATAGAAGTCGTCGTCTGATACCGGATACCGTGTTGTATACGTCGCTGCAGTCGACTTCCAGCCCGGACCTGCGGCGAAAGGACCGAGCTGCTCCATCGTTGGAGGTGCAGTCTCTTCATCTGTGCGATTTGTGTGAACTTGACAGGCACCCTAAGCCAAAGAAATAGCGATTGACCGTATATCCAGTTAAGGACTGCGTCGGGGCTTGGGGGGTAAGAAACAGGGGAAGAGGGTCGTCCGACGGGCTGTCAGTACGAACTTTTGGTCGCCAGAGAAAAGTTGAGCGAGCAACAACTTCGGCGGAAGTCACGGGGTTTGGGTTTGGCGGTCGTGTGAGAAAGTCGCCCATGGAGCGCTAAACCTATTACAGACATAGCGTCACGGGGTCTGGGACCGGGACTGGAGGGACGAACGACGGCCAATTCGGCTTCAAACCCGCCAGAACAACGCTTTCTAGCGAGCCATTGTCCAAGTTTTTCCCAACCCGCTCAATTCATATACTTTCGATCACCATGGGTGGAGGCGGAAAGATCCCGTATGTGATTTTTTGAATTGATGAAGTCCCCCGTGTTGCGCTGACCGATGGCCCCCCCGCAGGTATCCCAAGGAAGTCTGGTCTCCCGCCGGAGGCTGGTATGCTCAACCCGCGAACTGGAAGCTCAACACTGCCATCATGGGTGCCACAGTGATTGGCATTGCTGCTACTGTCTGGAGCATCAGCGCCGACCGTGAGCACCGCGACAAGATGCCCGAGCCTGGCAGATTCTTCCCTAGTCGCTAGTCAGTTCAACCCAGCCAATCCCCTGTCAAGCGTTTCTAAGCATCTGGTCATTGACTCTATCTCGTCTATGTAGCTGGAGCAGGGAAATCATCGAACACGAGAGAAAACAACAAGCCTCGAAGCAGGACTCATAATGTGGTTGACAGGGAATAAGAAGCGAGTGGGATAAAATGCAATTGCGAAGGTCTCCTGTGGCATGATAGGTTCTGTTTTCATCGTTTTTTGAGGGCTGTACGACAATAGAAGGGCGTTCTTCAACCGGTCAGTTGATCTGCAAGTGCTTCTGAGGAGACTCTTCAAGTGTTCGATACAAGCGCTGTGTGTACAGGCGGACCCGTTCCGTGAACTCAGTCTCGTTCCAAAGCTCTCTTCCATCGGTAGATGTAGAAACCTGCGGTACACCAATCTGCTCAACCACAAAACTCGCCGCTACGGTAGCGAAGACTAGAGCTGATAGGAAATGCTCATGGGCGCCGCCAGCCTCCTTTGCTCTTCGCCAGGTCGTAGATTGCGCGAGCACCAAATCGACAATATTGGCTGGAGCCCTACCCGAGCTGACCATTCCTTGAGTCAATGCTCCCAGGAATGAATTTCCGGCTCCAGTGGGATCGACCACAGGCGACGGCATCGACGTATCGGGCTGGTGGTACGCGGGCAGCCAGATTCTCTGCTTTCGGGAAAACGAATAGCTGCCATCTTTACCAGCTCTGATAACGAGATGTCCATTCCCGTCAAGCCCAATGCCTTGGGAAAGAATCCTCTCCACAATAGCTTTCCCGTAGCTTGTCTCTTCGCTCCAGCCGGGTTGGCCAAACATAATCCCAAGCTCTAGTTCATTAGGGCTCACGACGTCTACGACTTTTATCGCAGCCAAGAAGGTTTCTTGCTCTTCAGGAGTGCAAAGGTCTGGGACAGGTTCCCAGACGAAGACAGGTCGCTGCGTGGCCGAGACAGACAAGGGTACGTTGCCCTCTTGTTGTAACTGCTCCCGCCGTCGCAAGATTTCCTGCACAATAGACATACAGCGTGACGAGGAACAGACCATATGGAAGGTCTTTGAAAGCACTTGTAAGTCCGATAGCATTGACGGCTCTAGCCGCAATTTGGGTGTCAAATACTTGAAATCTGGAGCAACTTATCAGTCATGTATGAGCTTGACGGACAGAAGCGAATGCAAATGTACTAACCCCTCTTTTCGTTCGGCCCGTAGCCATTCCAGGCTCTTGTGGTAAGTCGCCCATGATCTTCTCTTATGATACAATTTGTATCCCAGGATCTGAGAACATCTAGAACCTCTGTGGGGAAGTCGGATCCGACATCAACAATCCAGCTCACGGATCGCGCATACTCTTTCCCAGCAACGAGGCGTGCGCCAATGACTGCATAAGATGCAGCGCCACCGAGGACATTCTTGACGGGGGGTCTTGTTCCTTCGAAGTCAATGTCGTCTACAATAATCGATGGGGTGCCAGTAAGTATATATTGGAAAGATGGTGGTCAACAAACGTGTGTAAGTTAGCGTACCAAGGATGAACATGCCCAGGGTGCAAAAATCGACCTTGTCTTCGGACGAGAGCCTATTGTTGTCTGCCATTGTGCCCAGGAGACAATCGCCTCTATCTCAACGTGTCTATATTTTGGTGTAGTATGCTATGGGCGGGGGGGGAGGGGAAGTAAGTAAGGTACTATTCTTGTACGAGTATGATTTCTTGCTTATCGGAAAGAAAGGACGGATTGATTACGGGCTGATACAGCAACGTCATTGCGCAGAGACCGAGCGTTGGCTGCTGAAAGGTTACCGGGGGGGTATTAGTACAGTATAGCTACGGTAAGCTGTGGCTGGGCCCACCGCCCCGATGCTCTAGCCTCAGGCACCGCGGGCCGGGGGGGTTGTTGGTTCAGGGAGCATCATCTGTCAATCAACATCATCCCACTGACATCCTCACTCGCAATTGTTGCTGCCTTCCACAGCATTTCCCTTCTTCTGCTCAGCAGCCTAACTCTCTCTTTTCTTTCTGCTGCTGCTGCTTTTCATCATTTGAATTGCACAGCTTGCATTCAACCCGTATCCTTCTGATCTAGTCTCTCCCTGATTATTCTCCGATACTTACCTCCTTACTTCAACAGGGGCTTTCAAGATGGCGTCAGGAAGCCACATGCATAATCTCACAACCCTCATCAAGCGGTAAGTTATTGCGATCCAAGCGCCGGATGTATTGGAAATTCAACCTTCAGACTTCATTCAATGCCCCCCCCATGACACTGACCATGTATACCTCACCACAGGCTGGAAGCCGCGACTTCCCGCCTGGAAGACATGGCGATGTCGCTGGACGACCCCAACTCTCCCAAAACCATCGGTGCTATCGCTGCGCCTGAGACGGCCACTCCTGAGACTCCAAAGGCGGCTCCTCCAGCTACCCCCGCAGCTCCTCCCGTGCCGCCACAGATCCAGGACTTCGACACACTGATCAACGGAGACGTGCGGACTTTCGTGGAATTGGGACAGAAGATTAATGGACTGGTCGGCGAGCAGGTACGTCGGGCTATCTAATCTAACTCATGCTCCCTCAACTAAAGCTTTTTGTTAGTCGAGAGCCGTTCAGCAGGCCTTCGAAGCCGAGCGCACCTACCTCTACGTCTCGACTAAAGCCAAGAAGCCCGACCAGCAGCCCCCGGAGCTCATGACGGAGCTTCACAATGCTTCGGACAGCATCAATAACATCCGCGAGTCTAACCGGGCGTCGCATCTGTTTAACCACCTGAGCGCAGTAGCGGAGGGCATTGTTGCTCTTGGCTGGTTCTTTGCCAGCAAGCCTGCTGATTTCGTCACTGAAATTGTTGGCGGCATCGAATACTATGGCAACAAAGTACTGAAGGACTACAAGGAGAAGTACGTACTCCACCCAAACTCCAGCTTGGCATCTGCTAACGTTGCCCTTTCAGGGACCGCACTCATGTCCAATACATCCAAGCCTACTACCAGATCTTCAAATCCCTCGCCGCCTACCTCAAGAAACACTACCCCAAAGGTCTGACCTGGAACGACCAGGACGGCATCGACGCCCAAGAGGCCCTCCGCCAGGTCAAGAGCGGCAGCAGCTCTGCCTCATTCCCCAGCGAAAGTAGATCCGCGCCCCCTCCTCCTCCCCCTCCCCCTGTACCTACTATCAACGTCTCTGGCGGTAATGGCGGCGCTCCCCCGCCTCCGCCTCCGCCCCCCGGCGTCCCCCCACCTCCTTCCAGCGCCCCGGGCTCTAGCCCCGACATGTCCGCCGTCTTCGACCAACTGAACCGCGGCAACGCCGTGACCTCCGGCCTCCGCAAGGTCGACAAGTCCGAGATGACGCACAAGAACCCCAGCCTGCGGACCAGCTCCGTGGTGCCCGAGCGGCCCAGCTCGCAAGGCAGCTCCGTCTCCTCGCCCACGTCGCGGGCCCGGTCCCCGGCGCCGCCCAGCACCAAGCCCAAGCCCGAGAGCATGCGCTCGCGCAAGCCGCCGCGCAAGGACTTGGAGGGCAACAAGTGGCTCGTCGAGCACTTCGACAACCCGGGCGGCATCGTCGAGATCAACGCCCAGCAGAACCAGTCGATCCTGATCTCGCGCTGCAACAAGACCATCATCAAGGTCAGCAACAAGGCCAACGCCATCTCCATCGACAACTGCACCGGCCTGTCCATCATCGTCGACTCCCTCGTCAGCAGCCTCGACGTCATCAAGTCCGCCAAGTTCGCCCTGCAGATCGACGGCGTCGTCCCCACCCTGCTCCTCGACCAGGTCGACGGCGCCACCGTCTACCTCGGCCAGCAGAGCCTGGCCACCGAGGTCTTCTCTAGCAAGTCCACCGCCATCAACGTCATGCTGCCCCCCAAGGAGGGCACCGACGACGACACCAAGGAGTGCCCGCTTCCCGAGCAGATCAAGTCCTACGTCAAGGATGGAGTCCTGGTCAGCGAGATCGTCGAGCACGCGGGTTAGAAGTCCCGACGTTCAGCTTACAAACTTGATCCGTTTCCTTCGCGGGTGTGACGACTACCCCTCCTCCGCGATGCTTAGGTTCGATTTGGTAGATGTGGCATGGGGGAGAGAAAAGAAGATCCCTTTCTCCCCTCCATTGCCGTATATTGTAGATAGATCTGTTTCTATTTAAATCCAATCTTTTCTTTTGGTGTTGAATATGCCTTCTACATTGTCTGCTTTTCAGACCTTTGTTTCCTGGAATCATCACAGTTAGAAAAGACTACTTCAACGATAGGCTGCAAGAAGAAGAATCAAATTTGATATTCATCTACTCCTTGAACAAACGCCAGCGCACCAAAAGAAGTGCCGTAGAATGAGCTGCTATTACTTTGGGGCTCGAACCCCAAGAGAATCAAAGAACAGATAAGTGAGTCCGGCGCCCTCGAAGCCGCGCAAAGTGACGGTTCCCTGAGCACACACAGTGGCGACGATTTCAGAAAGGAGGGGATTATGAAAGCTATAGACATGTTGGGTATAGAAAGCTAGTCCGATAGGAGTACTCGTACCCTTTGGCCCGGGTCGGTATTTAGCAAAGGATATAAACGGACACTGATATGAACAGATCGTGAGATGAGCCTGCATCCCATTCGTATGAGCTGCTTTTTAGCGGGGGAAGGGTGTGATCTTTAAAGCATCACCGCAAAAGTAAGGGATACCGGTTGAGGTACACATCGCCTTCGGAGGGCGGGTAAGGGAACGGAAGAATGTTAGATTTTACCGATCGCGCTGGAACGGTCACAGACCAGTTTACACATCAGCGCTTAGCTCATCGAGAGCAAATCAGTGGGGATGAAAGTGTTTATGTCTTTGGACATCCAGGCCCCTTAGTCGCTGTGCAAGGAGACTGTCACCGACTTCGGTTCCACCGGGCGAATAACCGCCGTAGCCGTGCTCGCCCTTATGGAGCTTGCTATACAGCCCAACTTTAGTGTTGCGCAGCTCAGCGTCTGCGTAAGATGGACTGACGTGCCTTCTCGTTGGTAGGCGGCCTGCGAGAGGATGTGGCGACGGCTCGCGCCCAACGAAGTTCCCGTCACTTGGAAGAGTGGACACCTCGTGAGTCGTAATATGCCGTGCGAACGGGTTGCATTGGAAATGGGACGGGTAGCCTGGCTGAGACATCTCGGCAGAGCCGTGAAGTTCAGGCTTCCCAGGATGGCAAGGATGGCCAGGCGTTGACTTTCGCGACCGCTTCTCGCCCACAGAACTCGAATGTACTGGGTGGGCCTCTCGTGAGGCCTTGTAAGGTGAATAGCGCGGGTAAGGAAGTTGAATTTCATTTCGTAGCTTCTCCTTGCCGTCGGGTACTCGGTTGGCGAAGACAACACGGATACTTGAATGCAGGTAAAATCGACCTTTTGAAGGGCAGCAAATGTTTAAGTGAATCAAGTAACGTAGAATTGGCTTGTCCTTTGGATCTTCCGAAGCATTCAGAGATGCCTCAGGACGATCCGTCCCGTAATTCTTTCGCGCACTCAGGGGCATATCGATTATGGGGCCTGCGGAATAGCTCCGTTGGCGAATGAACGTCTTAGTTCCGGGCTCCATATCAGTGAGGTCATAAGGAACGAGGAACAGCTTGACGGCAGTTTTGTTCGGGTTCTTTATCATAACCTGTAATTGGCCTTGCTGCGGGATCCGATAACAGCCGCCCGGCGGCGATTTTGGGGACTCCGCCCTTCTATGCTTTTTCTCCAAAAGACGTAGAAGCTCTTGATCATTCGACCTTGCGTCAAGTGGAGACCGGATGTGTTGGTCATTATGCATGCTCCCAGGGCTTTGATGACGGTGTTTCCGGCGTCGAGTGTCGCTCGATGTGTCCTTGGGAAGGGAACTATCAAGGTCAATCATGCCCACATACGGACTGGGGCTATCGTCCGATATTGAACGCCCACATCCTGAGGTGGGATAGCTGTAAAACACGGCAGGGAATGGAATCGTGACATGGGGCGGACACTTAAGGCTGCCTTTACATTTGCCTTTACCCAGAACCCCTATCTGTGCAGTGAAGTCCAGCGGTTTGGAAGGGTTCGTCGACATCCTTCCTCGAAGAATGGACTCCTCGTATGAGCCCACCATTGGCGCCAATGCTCTGGACGAGACCTCGGAGCCAATAGAGGGTCGCCTAAATTTGGAATGCGCTGTCTGAACCGACGAAGCAAGCTGGAGGGTATAACCCGAGTTCAGAGACCGTCTTGGTGGTTGGGACTGATGGGTCAAGGCTTTGTTCCATTCCCTCATCAATGAGTCTGAATGAAGATGCGTCTCTCGTCTATGGGTAAAATCAGGAATCTGCATGTCTCGAAAAGTCTCTGGCGGAAGTGTGCGCCGGCGGCTGGCTTTCTCAGAGGAGCCAATATAGCTAAAATGTTCCGGTCGTGGAGAGAAGTCCAGATCTGTGATGTTGGCTTGGTGCACGAGTGGACTCGTGGGCGCTTTGAGTACATAACTTGACGAGAACGATCCCAGCGAGGGGGCACGAGAGCGTGCTGCCGGGTTTGTAGATGGATGTGATGGGACTTGTCGTTCAGAGCCAGCAGAAAACACGGTTGTGCTGAACCAGGGGGAAGTCGGAGAAGAGCTGAAAGGCGAGTAGTGTACGTCGTGAGCAAAGCTAGGCGATGCCGGGTCTTGTGATCGATGTCGAATCTGGTTCTGCGAGCTACCTTCTCGGAAATCTCCAGAGTGTAGGGCCGAACGAGGACGCTCAATATCGGCAGGAGACGCCAGCTGTTGGTCGTCTGAAGGGAGCTGATCACTCGCATCATTTAATTCTATTAGTTGATCCCTCATAGCGGAGTATTTTTGTGGAATATAAGGGGGAGCTTCGTGACTGGCATTCGCCTCTCCCAGCTGTTTCCATCAAGTTAGCAGGTATATCATTGCAAACCTTACATAGGTTGAATAAGGAGTTTTTTTCGACAGTGAGAGGTGCTGCAGCAAGACTCGACTTTCAAGGATAACTAGACATACGGAGCGATGGTGAATCCATTTCAAATCGTCGATATTTCCGAACCGCTCTATAGATTTCCCGCGGTCGTTTGCGTCATATACATCGAACGGCGAGGGACCTTCGGGGTTACTATACTGGTCCCTAGAGGAGGGGCGCAACCCAGAGGAAGAAATATGAGAGTCCTCCCTGGGAGCTAAGGTTCGATTTTGAGTCTCTTGACCTGAGCAATGGTCATCAGACCATAAGTCACTGGACCGTTCGGGGTCCATATATTGAAAGATTGGCATGGTCACCGGAAGATGGGACGGACAATGGGAGGTGCAGAAACGGCAAACATCTCAGCCCTAAAAGGTAGAAGAGCTTGCAGGAAAGGGAACAAGGAGTCTAATATGTTGGTAAGGGGAAGGATCAGAGATGTGCTGTGGCACGTCAGGCCGAAGTGGCGGAGGATTCACCGTGAGGTGGACTGGTGGAGTATGACCTGGACGGAATTGAATGGATCGACCGCGGGATGAGGCGGTTACAACATGATAAGGTGATGGCAAAGCTAAACCGATCAAGATGGAAGTAAGTACACAAGCAAAGAACACCACCAAGACAGTCAGTAAAGAATAAGATCCACTGCAGTTGCGGGTATCTTGATGGGATTGCAGCAAGAATGGTGGTGGTGGTAGTTGGTCAGTAGTACGAGCAAGTTAAGTTAGTAGTCGAGCTCATAAAAAGAAGAATAAGAAGAATGAGGAGAAGCCGCAGGGGGGCGAAAAGGCGGAATGATTCAATACCCCCCATGACGGTACAGTAATCCAGACCAATCCATGACTCTTGCTTTCCCCCTCTCCTTGTCCCACGAGTTCTTCTGGAAATATGACTTGTTTCTCCTCTTTAAGTACATTCTAACTTCTGCCATATTGTGTGCACCCGAGCTATCGTGTCACTTGTCTGTTGGTGACAACTCACAAAGAATCCTTGTTACGAGGAGAACTGTAAATGTACTGTACCTGACGAGGTCAATCCTGTACGACTCCAACTTTTTCCGGCGGTCGTTGCGGCACGGGATCTTCTCCCCATTGCTGCTGCTAAACTTTTTTTTTTTGGTCCTTTTCCCAGAGAAACAATCAGGTGGGACAGCAAAGTGTCGCAATTGTTGCCCGATACTTTCTTTCGTACAGTGTGACCTACACCGTCTTAACTTGGCCTTATCACGTCCATTTTTTTTGCTGTCCGTTTGAAACCCCGGGCTAGACAGGCACACACCACAAAGTTTCAAGAATCACACCTTAAACATTTATCATCACCACTATAACCACCACACCCACCACAATCACAACCACAACCATCACCACCCCCTCAAAAATCCACCATGGCACCCAAACGCACCCGCGACGAGACCAACTCTGAAGAAAAGCGACCAGCCGCAACCGCCGGCGATGCGCCAGTCAAAAAACGAAAGGGCTTCTCCGTCGGCCCTGCCAATCTACCCGATGGCACTTATCGTCGCAAAAGTATGTCGCATTTCTTCCATCCGCAATGCCGTCATGTCCCCTCCAAATTCCCGCACCTTTTTATCTTTCTATAGCACTTAGCTAACAAGCACCCACCCCAAAAATAGCCCAGAAGATCAAATCCGACCTGATCCAAAAAGCCAAGGTCAAGAAAGCGTATGCCAAAATCCGCGAGGAAGCGCTGGCGGCGGCCCCGCCCAAGCCCATCTACACGGCCGATCAATATGAAGATGGCAACAAGGAGGAAGAAGAAGTCGAGCCCGAGCCCGCGTCCGCATCCCTGGAACTGCACCCGGATCGAATTGCGATGCTGAACGAGCCGGAGCCGGAGCCGACGCCCAAGCCTGCTGCTGGTCAACGAGCGGACAACGGCGGCCGCGATGCGCGGGGGGGCCGCCGGGTCCGGAAACCGAAGCCGTCGGCTTTTGCGAAGGAGTTGGAGCTGGCGGAGAAACGGAAGAAGGAGGCCGAGAGGCGGAGGGAGGAGAGGGAGTTTAGGCAGAAAGATCGGGAGGCCATGGCTCGGGCTAAGAAGCCGGACCAGAGTGGGAAGAGGAGGTTGGGGAGGGAGAGTACGGTGTTGCTGAGTCGGGTGCAACGGATGGTTGGATCAGCGTAAAAAAAAGAGGCGGAGCTTGGAAAAGGGACGCGATTCCTGAGGAGGGAGCAAGAACTGGTAAAAAAAATATGATACCCGCGAACTTATTACGATCAGAGTTCGAAATTGATTGATTTATTGTACATACACAGGTGCATGCATCTACGTATGTATGTTGTGTGAGATTGTTTTAGACTCATATGCATAACATAGCTAGTGCTGAAAGACTACTCATGCGGACGCTTTGTGCCCTCCCCCGCTGCGTGGTTTTCTGAAACAAGCGAACTCCCCCTTTGTCTTCTCTCTCAATCGCTTGAGGGTGACCCGCATTTCGCTCAGCTCTGACTGCAGTCGCGCGCGAGCTTCGTGAGTGGTTCGACGGTCCAGTTCCACATAGATTTGGCTCTGGATGGCCGATGCCTCGTCAGTTGAGTATTGGGACATGGTTTGCGCGATGAACTCCGTATCGAGCGTCGCCTGCATCAAAGCGGCGAGCGTATACTGGGACCGTGTGCTGAAGGCGGTCAAAAGAGACGTTGAGATCTGGGTCAACAGATATGTGAGGATGACTGATAGTAGAGGCGACTGTGCGGCCGAGAGTGAACGACTTCCCGTGGTCAACAGGGTGGACGGAATTGTGGTTGTAATTTCTGTATGAACCAATACAAGTGCCAACATCGCGTTATACACATATGGGCGAACCTGCTCTGGCCGCGAGTCACCAGCTGGTTCCCAGTCGGGTCCAGCAATGCTCTCAATGATTGTTGAGTTTAGTTTGTTGATGGTCGGTTTGGTGTATGATTGGAACAAACGGTCTTCTATCTGGCCGAGTACGTCCCGGATAGTCGTTGCCTCTTCGGTCAATTTCACCGAGAAGGAGTTCTCAAAGTATGCAACTAGCTGAGGAACAAGGTCGGCTTGGAAGGCCTTGATGTTCGATAAAGTCAACAGCAGGCGCACATTCTACATCACAGTCAATTTCCAATAAAGCAGTTGGGAAAAGGGCAAGGGCAAGTACTCACACGATCACGAACATCAACCGCGTCTGCTATAAGCAGGGATGTTGCTGGATCAGTTGTGGTTCTGGTGATTGTCGGTCCAGCTAGAACCCACTCATCTTCCCCGTCTGTAGATGCGGGATGTTCCGCATTCTCGACGAGTCCACTGAGAGCTTTGTAGACGCTCGACACAAACTGGCTGCGCACCATGAGCAACAGCTTTGTAGATGGCTGTGTAACGATATCTACAGAGCCCGCCTTCACCATAGCCTCCGAGATATAGAGTATTCTTTGCATGCCACTAATGATGGCATTCTCAAAGGAAACGAATAGGCCAGGCATCTTCGTAAGATCCCTTCTTTCCGGGTCTCGTGTCCAGTCTTCAAGCATCTTGCAGATTTCGGCATCCTTGCCCCAGGCCGCGCAGGCCACACGCACGGAGCGCTCACGGGCGACACTAACAAGCGACTTGAGGAGATCGTGAGTATTGCCGCTACTCGACACCGGTTCCAGAGCGGCCATTTCACTAGCCGCTGTTCCAATTGTTACCAGAAATTGACTGAGATAATGCACACCGCTGACGGAATTCGAAAACGGCGGCCAGAAAGCATAGTCTTCCCAATATTCCCCGCGTTTGGGAGTAGGAAAGGGCATGTTCTTTGGGTCCAGCTTGAAACGCGATTCCGTAGGAGTTACTCCGAGGCTTCCTGGGCTGTTGGGACTCGCTGCGGAAATCGGAGATGTGAGGAGAGACACATCATCCACCGGCGGGTCAGCAAACAGGGACAGTACACTCTCGCGAATCAAGTTAACAAGCTCAACGGCGCCTTTCTGCAGATCCCTCACATCACTGGAGGACAGCCGGTGGTGCTTACGGCTTTCCCCCTCGAACCCGGCTGGTAAAAGCTTTTGCTTGCTGCCGCCGATGAAGGATTGCGCTACCTCCCAGAAGTCGAACACTTCACCAAGAAGACCCCCCTGAGAAGATAAAAGCCTGGTCAAGTAGGTATTGATGCACCCCCACAACTCAATCACCTGATCAGTATCTCGCATTGACTCGTTTTCTTTGGAATTATCGCGTGGTGCGAGGCGTAGATACGAGGCCACTGCTTGAGGTGTCGGTTTCTCACCGCTAGCAAGCCGGCGTCTCAGAATCTCTATCTCTGATTTGCAACGCTCACAGAAAGCTATGATCTTGGTCTTGAGGAAATCATACCGGCTAAGAAGCCAGACCCAGATAGGATTGTCATCCACCCCTAATTCTAGAAGAGCACATATCAACTCCATGTGCTCCTCGACTGGACCAGTTGCTGTGATGGTCGTTGATGTTGTAGGCGCATCGCTCAAACGCCTCCATAGATCACGCTTGAACGCTTGAATCTGCTGGTCCACATCTATCCACATCCTTCCCATGGCCAAGATAACGTGCGTTTCCTCATCGGTCAGTGGCCGCTCCCTCCCTGTCGCGGTTTCGGCGATGTTCTTAGCGGTCTTCGCAAGAGAGCGTGCTTTGCGAAATTGCTCAAAAACAGAATCATAATCTCGCTGCTTGATCGACTTCGACAGTTGCCCTCCGATCTCATAAATATCCCGGTGCTTTTCCATCATTTCCACCACTGATTTCAGCACCTGCTCTCTCTCGCGACCGCCCAAAGCTGGCCCCCACACCTCCTCAGCCTTCACGGACGCTTCCAGCAGAGGCACTCGGATACCCTTCATGCCGTACTCGCTCTCCTTGGTGAGAGCATTCTTTCCGGGTCCAACCTCTGCAATGGCGGTAGTGGAGATGCTGTGCCTGCTACCGGAAAGGTTTCGGAAATGTCCAACCGACCTGCGGTGACCTTGGGGACTTAACAGTTCCTCCTTCTGACCTTGGGTTTTCATTTCCGTATAGACGCTATCAATCGTGGCCTTCGCTCGGACGAAGCGCTCAAAGTTTGCTTCGACGAGGACTTTCAGGGATGCGGACTTCTGGTCGATGGATCGGGAGAGACAATCGAGGCCATCGAGGAGGGATTGTATCGACGCGTCGGAATGCACTTGAGAAAGGAACAGTGAAGGCGAGAACGAGGTTGAAGAGAGCAAGAATTGATTTCGTAAACGGCTCTCTTCGTCCAGAGATAAGCCTCGAGCTTTAAGGATCTTGAGCACGCTGTCGCCCATTCCAAGGGGGTCCGGTTCATCCACCTTAAGATTCTCCCGCCCATTGTTCCCTTTGAATGAACCTAAGGTGACACTCTTTCGAGTGCTATTGTTGCGCTCCAAGGCGAAGTAGCGAGATCGCTCCGAGCGGGAGCCGCGGCGTTCCAGCGCCTCGGCCTCCTCTGGATCGCTTTCGTCCAACTCTGCGGGCCATTCTTCAGGAAAAGCCGATGGGAGATTATAGTAACTGGCCACGTCGACCTCAGTCATGGTGAGGACGAAATTACCGAAGGAGGAGGGAGGAGGATGATGATGAGGAGGAGGAGGAGGCGGAGGAGGAGGAGGAGGAGGAGGAGGAGGAGGAGGAGGAGGTGGTGGTGGTGGTTGTGGTTGTGGTTTGGTTGTCGTCGTGATCGTGCCAAGGGTGCGACAGACTAAGGAGAAGACAATTAGGCTGTCACAGCGTCATATATTCACACACACAGCTATACTGTACAGGTAGTCTAAGCGTGGTGGAGCAAGGGTAAAAAGAGAGAAGTCAGATTTCCTAAGAAGGCAAGGATAACATGAGTAGTGGATAAAGCTAAAACGTGCCGTGTTTCCCAGCATTAGGTTAGTACTGCATCACCACCTGGCAGGCCTGACAAGGGACGGTCGGAATACGTAGGAGGTAGTCTACTCCGGAGTAGTTCAGTTATCTGATCGTGGGTCCAGTTGGCCAAAACAGCCAAACAGCCAAACGGCCACACACGGCATGCCTGGATGGCTGCTGGTCTGGTCGGACCGGGAGCGGCGCTGCCGAGACTGGGCAGGGAAGTTCACACTCATTCAGGTTCAAACTGCTTTCACACAGCAAAGCCAGTCCAGTCCGCCCGCACCGACCGCCCGTGCCCGCCGCCTTTCCCTTCCCATCCTTCCCATCTCCTCTCCTCCCTCCTCTCCTCTCCTCTTCTCTCCTCACCTCTCCCCTCTTTCTTCACCAATCCTTCCTATCGTATCCTCTATCTTATTCTCGCACCCCTCCGTCGTTGTATTCTCGGGGACCTGTCACAATGATCGCTGCTAGGAACTTTGTCGCTCCCGCCCGCCAATGCTTGCGGACCACACGTGTGTCCCCTCGCATTGTGTCGCCTCTCTCTCAGGTAAGGATCGGACAGAGCCTTTGTCCCGATTCGTTCTGGGACAAGCTAGATCTTTGAAGCTGACCATTTGTATAGCTTCGCTCCTACTCCGCCGCTGCCGACGAGCGCGTCGCTAAGTTCAAGGGACAGAAGGGTTCTGATGTATGTCGCGCTCCGGGCCAACCGCCTGAACTTTTTTTCCCCATACCTGCCCGTCCATGTCCTTTGGTCCGGCAACTTCCGCCGCGATCATCGACAGTTCCTCCTTTCTCCCTGGATTCGCAAACCATACTATACGGAGATCTATCCAAACATGGCTCTAACGATTTGGTTCTAGGGAAAATACACTGTTACCCTGATCGAGGGTGATGGTATCGGCCCCGAGATCTCCCAGTCGGTGAAGGACATCTTCGCTGCCGCTAATGTAAAGCTCTCCCATCCTCGACCATCTGTGTGTCGCATCATCCAATACTCACCAGTATCGCTATCTAGGCCCCTATCAAGTGGGAGCCCGTCGATGTTACTCCCATCTTGAAGGATGGCAAGACCGCCATTCCCGACGAGGCCATCAAGAGCGTGCAGAAGAACTACGTTGCCTTGAAGGGTCCCCTCGCTGTAAGTTCGCATTCTACGGTTGCTACTATAGAAGCATTGGCTAATAAGCACCCTTAATAGACCCCTGTCGGTAAGGGACACGTCTCTCTCAACCTCACCCTCCGTCGTACCTTCAACCTCTTCGCCAACGTGCGTCCCTGCCGCTCCATTGCCGGCTACAAGACCCCCTACGACAACGTCGACACCGTCCTGATCCGTGAGAACACCGAGGGTGAATACTCCGGCATTGAGCACGTCGTCGTCGACGGTGTTGTCCAGAGCATCAAGCTCATCACCCGTGAGGCTTCCGAGCGTGTCCTCCGCTTCGCCTTCCAGTATGCCCGCTCCATCAACAAGAAGAAGGTCCGTGTCGTGCACAAGGCCACCATCATGAAGATGTCCGACGGTCTCTTCCTCAACCTCGCCCGCGAGATTGCCAAGGAGTTCCCCGATATTGAGTTCGACGCCGAGCTCCTCGACAACTCCTGCTTGAAGATCGTTACCGACCCCGCTCCTTACAACGACAAGGTTCTTGTCATGCCCAACCTGTACGGTGACATTCTTTCCGACATGTGCGCCGGTCTCATCGGTGGTCTCGGTCTGACCCCCTCCGGTAACATTGGTGACGAGTGCTCGATCTTCGAGGCTGTCCACGGATCCGCCCCCGACATTGCTGGCAAGGGCCTTGCCAACCCCACTGCTCTGCTCCTGAGCAGTATCATGATGCTTCAGCACATGGGTCTCACTGAGCACGCTGCTCGTATCCAGAAGGCCACCTTCGACACCCTTGCCGAGGGTAAGGCCCTCACCGGTGACCTTGGCGGTAAGGCCAAGACCCACGAGTATGCCGAGGCCATCATGTCGCGTCTGTAAGGGATTAAGCTACGATTGTACTATTCCCTCTTTATACCTTGTTCTTTTCCTTTAGCCTGTGAATGACTAGACTAAATGTGTACTCAAATCCTATATGTCCCTCAATGTATGTAGATGCTATATTATCACTTTGTCTTAAAAAGCTGTGATATGCTTGGGTGCATGTATAATGACAGTGAAACTTCATGATATTTGTGGTTAATGTTGGGGAGCATGATCAACAACCCGATAAGAATTCATGGATACCACCTGAAATGCGGTGATACCGAAATAGGCAAACGTAATCGTACAAAGATAGACAAACCCCAAACGCCAGCTCCTAGCTCCAGGTATCACCTCTTGCAGTAGTAAAAAAGAACAATCATGCGCACCTGACGGCCTTCAAGCCTGTCGTCTCCGGCCGCCTCTTCTCGTGCCTGTTCCTGCGCCTTTTTTCTCCTTCTGTTTCGATCGAGACGTTTGCGCGCGCGTGCTCCGTGTCGTCGGTGAGCCCCCAGCATCTCCATCGGCCTCGTCCGGATCGCTATCGTCCTTGGCCCCGTCCGAACCGTCCTCATCCCCTTCGTCCGACTCATCGCCCGACTCCCCTTCGTCCTCGTCATTGCCTGAACCTTTCCCGACAGTCTCAATCTCAACCTGCAGTCGCGATGAGCGCGTACCACGGCCCCCTTGCCGTCCACCACGACCGGGTTTCCTCCCTCGCGAGGGCGCGGGAGACGAGCGGGGTTCTAAATCTCCGGAAAGGATAGTCAGTTAACCTCCATCAACGGGAACATAGAGCTTCACAACGCGCGCCCATGTCGAACCTAAAACTGAGAGGGCTTAGGGTTCATTGGAAACCAAAACGTACCATCCGTATCAGCCACCGTGCTCCCTCTTCGCGAATCCGCCGGTCCACTCGGATCCGGCGACGGGGATCCCTCCATAGCCAATCTTCTCTCGAACATCAGGTCGCCGTATTCGTCCTCGGGAAGCTCGAATGGGCAATAGAACTCCTTTGTGCCATCCACGTCATCGGGGATATCGGTGATCAGGGAATCTTCCTAAAATGCACGTCAGGACAATTGAGTCAACCTTCAGTAACAGCCGTGACGCGCCTGGAGATGGGCGCATAACACAAGTCAAGAGACTTACACGTTCATCCAGAGCTGGGAGGTTGTACAAGGTGTCTAGCTTTTTCCAGATCCCAGGGATTCGAGTATGTTCGGCATTGGCGGGCGCGTATCCTTGACTCTTCATGAATTCCGAGATAGCGATCATGCGGAAGTGTTTATGCATGCCTATCAAGGCGGCGGTGCGGTGCAGCACACACAAGTCAGCCCAAAGCAGATTCGCAATCCGCTTTTAGAATTCTTCGAGTGGAACTCGTTGCGGGCCTAACGTACCGACGGGCTTCCATTTGATGATCCCCTTCAACAATGCTGTCTCTTGCTCATCTGTCCAGGGGTCTGTGACCGGGTCGTAGTCGGCGGGCGGTTGGGTTCCCCCCGGGGCGGCGGCGCTTGCGGAGGAGGGTTCGGTGGTGCCGCCTGGGGGGGTGAGCTTGGCTTTCTTTCGAGGGGGCATAGTGATTATTTGTGTGTGTCGCGCGTGTGATGAAAAGTAAGTAAGCGAGAGGAACGGTTGGAGAGGGGGTAGTATCGCCGTGATTTGGTCAATTGAGCTTCCTTGTAGCTCTCAATGTCCGGAGATGCAAGCAACAGCAGGTTAGCTGCGGGTGAACCTGAATTCAAGGTTCCTCCTCTCGGTTTCCCGAACAAGCGGTGGCCCGGGCGTACCTTAGCCTGGGGGAAACTAACCCGTTTCAGGTAACCTGCCTATTAGTGAGCCGGTGATCTCGCGCTGTCAGTCTGAAACGCGTCGCAATTTCCCGACGATGACGATTTGTTCGGAGCAACCCTTTGCTCAGAGGCCGTTGCGGTGTGCGGTTTGTTTACTCGAGAAGTGACAATGGACTTGGATGAGTGTGTCAGGGACCCGTTCTCGAGTGAGGGTCTGTGGAGACTCTCCGAGTTCACTCTGCAATGTCTGCAGCCGTTGGAGGCCCTGCCGTGGGATGAGAGGCTACCAGGTGTGTACAATTGTTGCCGGCACGGTTGCGCGCAATTGGACTAACCAAAGGAAACATTGATTAGATCTCTCCGGCGGAGTCTTCAAACTACCTCTAGACATCTTTGACAAGGTTGCGCCTCGGATACCTGAGCTCGACGTTTTCGAAACCAGCTTCTGTGACCCGGAACCACCACTGCTACCGACATTAGATACCTCGAGCGAAAGCCAGTTCGAGACAAGTTTCGATCAAAACGAGGAGACGGAACAAACGGAAGTCGGGCAACAGCCTCTTGATGACATCTGGGCGCCGGATAACATTCTGCCTAATCCTGACCATGAAGTCTCACTTAATTCCTGGGAGAAGTTCTTTGACCGAAACCACCGTGAGCAAGTAACCGCATATTTCAGCGAGTCCGGCGCCAAAGGCTTCGACGCAGCATTAGCACATCAGGCTGCCAAGAACAACAGCCCAGAAAGACATCTCATTGTTCGCAACGGTGTCTATTTCCAGGCCTTGTTTAGACTCGGATTGGGCTGGGGTTCCAAGTTCTTTCGCTACAATGAACAACATAACACATTCGAGGTCGTGCACGACAATCTTCGCATCTCCGGCATCACTTCTACTACACTCAAGGCGGTCACAACTGATTTGATTGAGTGCGGAACCAAAATGCAGAAGATTCGACGCTTCGTAGACAGGATTCCTGTCAAGTCGAACGAACTATCGACGCTCAGCGCTTTCTCTAGCGCAGCAGCGGTTATCATCTACACCCTTGAAAAGCAACTCGCCAGACATGTCAGCCATATTGCTTCACTCCTTCAGATCAAGAGCCTCTTCGCGCAATGTGGGGATCTCGTGCATGTGCTAGCGAACATGGTTGACGCTGTCCAGGGATCAGTGTCCGAGACCCAACTGATCTCCATCGTCCTCGAACGAGCGGCCCACTTCTCACAGGTCTTTGGCCAGATGGAGCCTCTTTTGCGACAAGTTATTGCTCGGGTTATGGAACCTTGGCTCTCTTATGTGGAAACTTGGGTGGGGTTCCAGCCGGAGACTTTGACTTCGATTGAGCTCGCGTCCAGCGGGAGAACCTTTGTGTTTCGCGAGACAACGGATACCCACACATTCTCGTCTAGGGCGACAACAGTCGATTATAGATTCCTCCCAGATTTGATGCCATCTTTCGTTCCTTCGGACCAGGCACAGCTTATCTTCGAAACTGGACGGAGTTTACGGCTTCTCAAGCGAAATCACCCACAACACCCAATCGCAAGCCACGCGGCCTATGGTGCTGAGTCCGTCAAGCTTGACTGTGCTGGCAGCTGGTTTGACATCGAGAAGATTCAGAGAAAGGCATCTGATTACGAGGCGCGGCTGCGTGCTGCAATCCTGAAATACAACCGAGGGGAACAGCTCGACACACCCGCCGCTGCAGCGTCACTTGCTCCGAACCACGAGACGGACAGCGAGACTGACGGGGCGTTCGAGTTGCTCGACATCGACAAGGCCTCGAAGACAGCCGGCCTCCTGCCAGACGACGCGGCTTTGTCGCAGAGTCGACTCGGACGCCTAATCGAAGAAGCCCGTCCACTTCACCTCGAGTCTCCGCACACCCAGAGCCACGACCTCAGTCCCGAACTGACATCCACGCCTTACCTGTCCCTCGCGCCTCTCCTATCCTCTCAAGCCATTCTCATCGACTACTCCTGCCTACACATGCTCTTCAAAGAACACCACCTGCGCACCCACCTCACCCTCCAATGGCGCTTCCAACTCTTGGGGGATGGCTTCTTCACCACCCGTCTCTTCCACGCCCTTTTCGATCCCGAGATGACCAGCGGCGAGCGCAAATCCGGCGTCGTCCGCACCGCCGTCCACACCGGCCTTCGCTTGGGGACCCGTAGCCGCGACACCTGGCCCCCCGCCAGCTCCGAATTGCGCCTCGTCTTGATCGGTCTCCTCGACGAATCTTCTTCCTCCTCCTCCTCCACCAAGAACACAACCAACCCCACCAACGACCCCCAACCCAACGACACCCTAAGCTTCTCAATCCGCACCCTCAGCCCCGCCGCCACCCAGCGCGCCCGCAACCCGCACGCGCTCGAAGCGCTCGACTTCCTCCGGCTAATCTACACCCCGCCCACCGCCGTCCTCGCCACGATCTTCACCGCGAACGCCCTCACCAAATACGATCTCCTCTTCAAACACCTCCTCCGTCTCCAGCGCATGGTCTCCGTCGCGACGACGCTGATCCGCGACGCCACGGCCCGCACCTCCCTGTCCGGCGACCCGCACAACATCTACCAGCGCTTCCGCGTCGAGGCGCAGCACTTCGTCCTCGCCGTCGCCGACTACTGCTGCCACGTCGCCGTCGGCGCGGCGTGGACGCGCTTCCAGGACCGTCTGGCCCGCGTCGAGGCGTGTCTAGACCGCGGGGACATCGATGGCGCGATCGACGCGGCCGCCGGCTCGGTGCCGCGGCTCCGCGAGATGCACGAGGCCATGCTGGACGAGATGCTGCGGGCGATGATGTTGAGCGGCGAGGCGGAGCTGGAGCTTGAGCAGTCGGATCAGAGCTCTGCACAAGAAGCACAACACGATAATCATCAGCAACTGGACAAGGCGAGGCGGTGGCTCGAGGCGTGCTTCACTTCGATACTGGAGTTCGCGCCTTTCTCGCTGGTCGACGGGGCGGACGGGGTGAGGGGTCCCCAGGCCGTGGAGGAGGTCCGTCGCTTGTATCTCCTGTTCCGGAAACAGGTCGCGGGGTTCCTGGCGTGTTTGAGGGGCGTGGATGGTGGTGGTGCTAGTGGTGTTGAGCCGGTGTCTTCCTCGTTTACTGGTCGGAGAGCGTGGGGGAGGGAGGGCCTGACGAGCGTGTTTGATCATTTGCTCGCGCGGTTGGAGGTGAAGGCTTACTATTGAGGGCGCATTCTTCTTGAGGGTTGTGGGTCTGCGACGATGTAGGGGTCATATCTTGATTGAGTATCATGGAAAGCTACTACAAGTTAATGTGGATATACATAGGGACGTTAAGTACATAATATCCTAATATTAGATACATGGTGGAAAGCCTTCAATGGGGCGGCTCAAGCTCGTTTCAACCGGAACGACTAGATGGACAAACAGGGTGGAACAAGCTAGTATCTCGAGTGATATCTACTGGAAACATGTAAATTGCCGGTATGTGTGCATCTATTATAACAATACCATATTTACAAGCCACGGACGTGCGAATGTAGTGCCAACCATACCACACTAGCCCAACCACGAACCCGGCCACAAGCCAAAACCGACCAAGAATCAGAAAAAGTGGAGGTCGGACTCCGCCCAGCCTTGCGCCAGCAAGATCCTGCGGGCCGACTTCTCCATGGCCTCGGGGCCACAGACCAGCACCATACTCTCTCCGTCGTTGACCGCGAACTCGCGGAGCATGTCCTCGGAGATGCGTCCGCGACGACCGGTCCAGCTATCGGGCGCCTTGGTCAAGGTGTGGACGATCTGGCACTTTTTGTTGTCCATCGCCGCAAAGGCGTCGAGTTCCGTGCGGCACAGAATATCCTCCTCTTGTCGGTTGCCGTTCAGGACCACGCACGTGGTGGGATCCGCTTGGTCCTGCATCACCGCGCGCAGGACCTGGAAGACGGGCGTGATCCCGGTGCCGCCGCAGATCATCTTGAAGGAGCGCACGGCACGCTCCTTGCCGCTGACGAGGACCTTGCCGTGGCCGAGGTACTCGAATCGACCCGTGGGGCCCTTGCAGTCGATGGCCGACCCCAGGGGAAGCTTCTCCAGCGCTGTGGTCATCTTGCCGCCTTTCTGTGTGGGGGTGTCGAAGTAGATCTTGACCAGCAGATCCATCGTGCCCTTTTGGCTGGTTTCTGAAATCGGGGTGTAGGAGCGAAGGATGGACTCCGTGCTTGAAGCTGGGTCCGGTACCTTGATCATGAGGTGCTGACCGATGGGAAGACCCAGAGTCTGCTTGTCATGCTCAAGCTGGAAGGTGAAGATACGTGTGTCCCATGATACTTCGGTTTTCTTAGTGAGTGTCATCTTCGACCACGCTCGTGATTGGAGGAACTCGGCGCGTGGCTCGCTGGATTCCGGTGCGTTGTCATTTTTGAGTGCCTCCAGGGAGGCCTTGTCCATCGTACCGATGTGATAGTCGGGCATCATCTTCTTCGCAGTTTCACTGTCTGTTGGCGGATTAGTGTTCGAACGGCTGTTGCAGATTACTAGGCTGACTTACGGATGGCGAGAAAGTCCTCTGATACATCCAGTCCGGCGGATGAGATGATGCTCTGGGCCCCACCAGGATGACCTTCGAGAAAAGCGGTGCCGTCGTAGACTTCCCCATTCACAATGAACCAAGGCTTTTCCTCACTGGAATTGCTCTTGAACTCCTGCAGATCGATCACACGGGTCACGCCTTCTTTCTTCATGTTGATCTCCTTCTCGACCTCAGGCACTGCTGGCTCTTCTCCTTCGTGACGCTCGCCCCAATTGCCGTTCGCCAGGTCACCTCCCGCCTTCTTGACACGCTCCATCCAGCCACCAGGACCAGTAGGATCAGTCGGATGCTCGAAGAAGAGCATTCCATTCTCCTTTGTAATGCTCACTCGGAACCAAGGATTGTTCATCATTCCCAGAACAGACCAGTACATGTCACGTGGCTGGATACTTAGGGCTTCGTCCATTGCCCGGACGAGAATGGCATCGGTGTTTGCAAGCTCAGGTATGGCAATATCAAGGGACCAGAAGATCCAGCAGAAGCATGTTTCGCGCCAGGACATGTCCACTTTGCCACCAAACAGATCGCCTTCGAATTCGCGATATTTATCTTCAGCATATGTGATGTCCGCTAACCGCCAGGCTGAAGAAACGTTAGCTTCATCTGACATGAAGGCTGGCAAGTGAGGACCATACTTTTGCCTTTATCAAGAGAGATCTCGACTCGTGTGATTCTCCTTCCACCACCTGCATATGCGTAGCCCTTGACAATGTACGTTGGTCCAGCCAACGAGAGATCAAGCATCTCCTTATGCTGAGGGTATGCAACGGCAGAGTTGACGTTGAGGTCGTAGATTGCATACCGGTCATCACGCCACCAGTTAGGATCACTGGCAGACATTTCAGGTGATACCATTGTGCTGTTAATTGTTAGACAACGAGTCTTTCCCCTGGGAAGCTGCGGGACTTACGGTAGAACTCGGTTATCATAAATATGGTACCAATTGTCGCTTGGCGCATCGGTAAGAATCAGCTTCTTCAGCCACTTGACACTCCGGCCACCGATTTGACCGGGTACAACGGCCCTAAGAGGGCGACCATGGTCTGGACGAAGAGACTCTCCGTTCATCTTATGGGCAAGCATGATTCCCCTATTAGGATCCATGGCCCAGTTGAGCTTGACGGATGTACCGTAGTATCCATTGGGCTACCATATTGTTAAACACCAATCGTTTACGGATGCTATGAAGACTTACCAATTTATCCGCACCCTCCATGCAAACGTACTTGGCCTTTCGAAGAGGCTTAGCACTGCGCAGAATGTCCGCCATCATGGGACCGGTCCAGAGCGCCGTTGACAATCCCGCTGAGCCCCATGAGAAACCCTTGGATTTCCTTACGGTGTTCTGTTCTTTGCGTCTATTTCCGGCGCATACCATGGTGATGGGGGCAGTGATCTGGTCGTATTGCTGTAGTATCTGACGAAAGTTCAAGACTAGCGGCTTCTCCACCAGACTTCATCAATTGTCAGCAAATGATTGCCTGTATTGTCGTGAGATATGGTACTGACCCTTCAATACTGATCTCCCAGTTGGGAATGTCTTCATCCTTGACTAGAGGGACAGGCCCGTGATTTCTGACATAGAATAGTTCCGGAGAAGTCAAGAACCCTTTGTGTGTCTATCAGATTGGACATTCCATGACCAAGGTCTGATACTGGGAGCCACTGACCTTCATTATACAATGCAGTAAGTGGCGGCTCAACGTTGAACGGATGCACACCCGTTAATCGGATCAGACGAGGGTCGCGAGGAACGTGGTAATCAGGCGTCGGCTTGTCCACGTTCAGAACCTCCGTAGGCTCTTTGGATGGAGGCGGTAGGGGTATATCTGCGAGTTCAACCCTCGAGAATTCCTCCTGCTCTACCGTGATGGGGCCCGACTTGAGCGGGACAGTGAGGATCTCCGCCCTCACTTCTGTGACTGTCGTCATAATGAACTGGTACGTTCTTCAACGCAAGGGCCAGATAAACGGCCAGAGTACGAGCAGATATAGCTATTACCCTGAGTCAGGGCTCTAACACGCCTGAGGGTCCGGCAGGATGCCTGTAAAACTGAGAAATAGGGAATGAGAGAGCCTCGGGCAGTCAAATAATCGGCAGTACTCCGGGCAGAATTTGGGATCCTAGGGGGGAAAACTATAAGATCCGGCATTTAAATTAGCTTAACAAGCAACAATCAGCCTGCGGGATCTGGTCTACCCACGAAGCACAGGGCAACAGTCTCGCTGGCTGCGAATAGTTGCACGGGGTCGGGAAGGGATATTTCCGCGGGGAGTCAAAGTGAGGTATAACCAGGTAACAGAAAGTGAAATGGCAGACACGGGAGAAAGACGTAAGGAGCAGAGGAAGTCTACTTCGAATTCCAGTCCTTGTTCGCCTCCCAAGGCAAGCTTGTTCTGGTCTGGCGCATTCTGGTGTAGTGGATAAATAAAAATAAAAAAACAGTACAAAAATCCCCTTAAAATCAGACTATAGCATAGACTAGGGGAAATAATGATTAGGCGAGAGGCAAATAATAATAAAATGAGATACAAAAAAAAAAAAAAAAAAAAAAGGGAAGAAAAAATCCCCGATGAGAAATAGAGGGAAAAGAAGGTCCATTTTGGCCGCGGAGAATGAGACGAGAACCAGAAAACGAGCGATGAACAAGGCCGGTGCCGGACGGTAAGTAGTTCGAGATCCACCGGACCCACACCCAACTCCATCGGACTGATTACGAGGAGGTGTGAGGTTGTCGAGGCCGGGTCTGACATCGGAGAGCCGATTCGGCCGTAACTAATTCGTAAGGGATGGGCAGATGGGCCTCATTTGCGCCATTTCCATCATCGCCATGCATTGAGGAAGAATGTTTGGAGGAGACGGAAGTAGAGAAGCGAGAGCTGCATAAGCCTATCTGACTCAGCATGCGCATATCTTGCACAATGCTCATGCACCCAATCGGGTGGATCAGCTTGGCTTATCAGCATTTTCGATAAGCATCGGGACTATTGTTGGTAAGACCATCACGATTCTCTATCTTCACCCGACTATCAATCATAATCTCCCCATCTCCCCCATCTCCTACCCTTTCTCCGCGGAGACATGCAAAGAAACAACCTTGCTGGGTCCAGAATGGTATCTGAGCGCTTGATTCCCCCCCGCCCCCCCAGTGCCTTAATCCTTATCCATTCGCTCTAATATCTCCGATCCACGGCTCGTACCCATGAACGGTGGCTCCTACGATCGACCTGGCGGGGCGCAGAGGCCCTGATTGTGGCTAAAAATTGGCCCAATCGATTGTCTCATAATTTGTCTCTGAATGTAATGCCACGGAGAAAGACAATGCCTCAGATCAGTCAATTTGTCTGCAGGCGCTTATCAGCATCCTTGGCGGAAATCACCATGACACCAGCAATAGTATATGAGTAGAAAGCTTCTTGGCCATTTGGTGACACAGACAACCCTCTAGTGATTCCCTGTGAGCCGCTGCAACATCAGGACCTCCTGAGTCCCCATCCTCCGCCACCATGCCTCTGCTGGATGGATCCAGGAGCAGCGATCCTGTCATTCCTGGCACTCTCCACAATGCCTACCCCCAGACGTCATCAATAATGGAGTCTAGCTTGGATACGGAGCCGCGCAGACATGACTCGA